ATTTGTTAAATGCATGAATGGAGTCAGATTGCCCTGAGTTCAAATCCCAGCTCAGCCACTTCCACTTAACTAGCTGTGTGACTTTAAGGAAGTTATAGGTCTGAGTTTCAGTTCTCTTACCTATAAGATAGGGATCATAAGAGTACCTGCTCATAGGATTGCAAGGATTAGGTGAAATAATCATAGTAGCCAACATGATGCATATAAAGTCTTTAGGCCCTGTGCTAAATACTTTATATGTATCATCTCATTTAACCCTTAGAGCCATCTTTCTTTCCCATTTTACAGAGGAATAATCTAGTCATGGAGTGATTAAATTATTCCATAAGGCACCCACTGGGATATGATGTGCTGAGACTTGAAACAAGGTGATCTCGCTCCAGGGCCCATGTTCTTAACCATGATGCCCATCTCAGCACAGTGTCCAGTACAGAGCTGCTGTAATTAGGCAGTTGCTGTGATTTTTAATAAACACATCATTCTGGGCCGGGCACAGTGGCTCATGCCTGTAATCCCAGCATTTTGGGAGGCCAAGGCAGGATGATTTCTTGAGCCCAGGAATTTGAGACCAGCCTAGGCAACATAGCAAGACCTCTTCTCTACAAAAAATATAACAATAATAACAATAATAAAAATAATAATAAACAAACACATGGTTGTGAATACTGACTACTCCAGCACCATGCCTGGCACCTTAGTGTTCCCTGGAGCTATCACAGTTTAGTTCATTTGTGGTATAGAACACCCACCCACTGCAGAGGTTCCTCACAGGGCAGCACCTGGCTATGGATGGCAGGTCTCCAGGAAGAGTGCAAGGCCTTTCCTCCTCTCTACCTCAACTGACAGTTTGCTAAACTGTGGAAAGGCTGAGGGGGTAGAGATTTGGAATCAGAACAGTAGACCCAGATTCAAGACCCAATCTCACAACCCACACTTCTAAGGATCTTTTTTGAGTTGAATAACATCTTTCACCATTTATTTTCCCATCTGTAAAATGGGAATAACACTAACAGTACCCCTCTCAGAATTGTACTAATATTTGCATAAGATTGTTGGGAAATTTCAATGAAGTGATAAAATGACCATCCTTAGTTGCCGTGAACGATAGTAACACTTATATAATACTAAAAGTAACACAGATTCTCTCACAGGACAAAGCCCACAAACGTTATCTGCTAATGAGTATTGACCAGAGGAAGAAGATGCTCAAAAACCTCCGTAAGACCAACTATGATGTCTTTGAGAAGATATGCAGAGAGCTGGGGATTGAGTACACCTTTCCCCCTCTGTATTATCGACCAGCCCACCGCCGATTTGTGACCAAGAAGGCTCTCTGCATTCGGGTACGAGTCAGAATTGCTGCTTTGGTTGGCCCCACGATGGCACTGGGATGGAGGGAACAGATGGGAAGCATGGAACTGGCCCTAGGGCCTGCAGTGGACCCAGGGAGGTCACAGACCACCAACCCCATGGAAGGAGGCTGGGGTTACCATCAGGGAAGATAGTTGCCAGCCCATCTGCTCCAAATCTGAGGTTTTGCATGGTATTACCAGGTCTTTTCCTGTCCCCTATCTCCCCCAGGTTTTCCAGGAGGCTCAAAAGCTGAAGAAGCAAAAAAAGGCTTTAAAAGCTGCAGAAGCAGCAGCTCGAAAACAAGGAAGGAAGAACCCGGAGGTTCAGAACCAGGTTCAAGAACCAGGCTCTTCCAAAGCCTGACCAGAGATACTGAAAGAAAACCAATAAATTCTGGGGCCGGGCACAATGGCTCATTCCTGTAAGCCTAGCATTTGGGGAGGCTGAGGCAGGAGGATCACTTGAGACCAAGAGTTTGAGACCAGCCTGGGCAACAGCAAGATCCCATCTCTACAAAAAAAATTTTTTTTTCTAAATTAACCAGGCATAGTGGTACATGCCGTTTGTCTCAGTGAAAGCATGGCTATGGATGGCAGCTAGAAGGGGAGAGGCAAGGAGTAGACCCTTGACAGTTCGGGAATCTTACTGCATTGGCTTGACCCCTAGTGCAATGGGGTCAAGGCTGAGCCAGGAGGATCACTTGAATCCAGGAGTTCAAGGCTGCAGTAAGCAATGATCACACCATTGTACTCTAGCCTAAGTGACAGAGTGAGACCCTGTCTCAAAAAAAACCCAATAAATTCTATTAAAATTCTTTCTGCCTTGCAGAATGATATGAGGGAAGATGGGGCTCTTTTTGGCCTGGGGAAGAAAATGAATTTATTCTTTCATTCAGCTCTGGGAAGGCAGATTCCCTGCCCTCACCCACCAAGGGACACTCTCATGATAAGCCTCACACATTCATATAAACGATTACCTGTCATCCAGGTGGCATGTGTTTCATTGTAGGTGATACAGAGTACATGGCAGCACTGGAAGGGTGGCTGGCTGGGTAAGCCAGCTATAGGAACTGCCTTCTGGACTGGACCCTAAAGAATGAGTAGGCATTCACTGGGCAGAAATAAGTAGAGAAGGCAACCCAAGCAGAAAGAATTGCAAGTATAAAAGCGAAGAAGTCTAGACATGCATGCTATATTCAGAGAGCAGTGAGAATCAGAAGTAAAGCTTGAAAGATAAGCTGCAGCTGGAGTATGAGAGGCTTTATATGCTTGGTAGGCTAAAAGGTTGCACACTGTCCTGTAGGGAATAGGGACACGGGTAAAGATTTAAAACTGAAGGAGTGAGCAACAGTTCTGTTTTAGATGGTTAAGCAACAGCTGTGTGGAGAGTAGATGGGAAAGGAAAAGATCAGGACAGGTTTATTTTGGGGACAGGGGTATTGGTGTTCCTACTGAGAATCTGATAAAACCTACAAGTCCTATCCCCAGGAAACTACATGCATAAAGCATAAAGCCCAACCATCTACATCAAGTTAAGTGCCAAGACCTTGAAGCCTGAGTATGCTTGGTATGTTTGTAGAACCCAAGGACAATGTGTCTAAAACTGAGTAAGTACAGTAGGAAGAGACGAGGTAAAAGGGATAGGCAGATACCAGGTGATAAAAAGCTTTCTGGATATATTTTGCTCAGGTTGCCACAACAAAATACCATAGACTCAGTGGCTTAAACAGAAATTTATTTTCTCACAGTTCTAGAGGCTGGGAAGTCCAAGATCAAAGTACCACCCAATCAGTGGTGAGGGCTCTCTTCCTGGCTTGGAAAGGCCGACTTCTCAGTATGTCTTCGTGTGGCCTTGCCTTGGTGCATGTACTAAGAGGAGATCTCTCTCTCTTCTCCTAAGGCCATTAATCCCATCTTGAGGACCCCACCCCCATGGCCTTACCTACTCCCTATTATCTCTGAAAAGCCCCATCTCCAGATACCATAACATTGCAGTTAAGGCTTCAACATATGAGTTTGGGGGAACACAAACATTCAGTCCATTCACTGGAGAAAAGACTAGGCTTCATTCCGAGAAGGGAAGCCACTGAGGAAAGCCAAAAAGGGAGAAAGATGTGTTAAAGTGCTGTGCAAAGAAAAACTAGATCTGGGACTCAGTAAAGAGGTCTGGGAGTTGTTAGGGTGATTAAAGCCATGGGTGTGAGTGAAATTGCCCAGGGAGGGAGTGTAGAAGAAAAAAGGGCCAGGTCAGAATGGAAAGGATGATCCCTGAGAAGCAACTGAGGTGGAAGGGAAGGTGCAGTGAGGGTAGAACAGAGAGCCTGAGAATCTGCTGAAACAAGTGAGACAGAGAATCAGAAGTAAAGATTAACCTAACATGTTTCCTCCATGGGCAGGACTACTTGGAGGTGTTTTGCTAGAGGGCCAGGTGCCAACATTTAGGGGGCTAGCAGAAGGGAAGAAGAGAAAAAGGAACACACTAATGGATCAGGCCCTACAGGAAAGGCATTATTTTAAGTGCTGCCTTAGGCACATTATCTTACCTAATATTCAAAGCCACCTTTATTCCCCACGTCAGCTAATTATTCTCATTTTACCATGAGAAGTCAAAGAGCTGGTTAGAGACAGGTCTAGGATTCAAACCCGGCTCTGTCTTGACTCCAAAGCCCATGTTCTATACTCTATACTACACTGTCTAGGGACCAAAAAAAAAAAAAAAAGGTCTGAGAAGCCAAGGGAAGAATCTAAGCAAACTCAAATGCTTTTAGCAGCCAGGCAGGTAACAAATGTTTGAAAGCCTAGCATAAGGTAATGATGCAAAATTGTATCCTAGTTATATTCCCTTTTAAAATGGTGCACAGACTAGGCAAAATAACCAAAGAAAGCCTTGGGCTGCCAGCATTCAACTATTGTATAGTTATGGTGCTGAGATGTCAGTTAAGAGAATCAAAAAATATTCATGGCAAAGCAGTTTCAGTTGGGTGGAAGGAGCTCAATTCCAGTTATAGTGAGGTGGGGAGTGAAGCTGTTAAACTCAGGTTGTGAGTGTAGTACTCTTTCAAAAACAACTTGGCTGGAGAGGAAGGAAAACAGACAAGGAAGGGTGTGGGATGGAGGAAAGGACTTTCTTGTGCTGTGGGCAAGTTGCCCACAGAGGGGGTGTTTTACATGATGTCATTGATTCCTCTCAGTCCTATGAATGGGGTGTCACATCTATTTTACATAAGAGAAAGCCAAGGCTCAAAAACCCTGCCCGCAGTCACACAGCTAGGAAATACCGAACCGTGATTCTAGCCCAGGTCCGTCTGACCCAGCCTGCTCTAAAGGCGTTTTGCTTGGGCTCTCCTCTTCCATGGGTACCCAAGGCCCCGGGGCCCCTTCCTCCACGCTCGAGTTCCGAACTACGGGTTGGCTGTGCCGAGGCCGAGCGCCAAGGCCGGTCCCCAGACCGCCGGGCCCCAGCCCTTCGGAGACAGGTTTTAAAAACTCAAAATCAGCGCGCCCTAGTAGGGACCAACGTCACGCCTGCTTCCGCGCCCGCGCCCGGCTCAAACTAATCCTCGCGAGGCAGTCCGCCAGTCAGCCCAATGAGCGCCCTCTCTCAGGGCACCTCCCACCAAACCGCCTTCTAATTGGCTCCCTTTTCCCATCGCGGTGTTGCCCTAGCAACCAGGCTGGTGGGACGCGGCGGCGGGGCCTCCAGGCCTCTGGCTGCCTAACCTTGGAACCTTTCACCAGCCCTGCTTGCCTCTAGCACCATGTCGATGCGAACGCTACCGCTGCTCTTCTTGAACTTGGGCGGGGAGATGCTTTACATCCTGGACCAGAGGCTGCGGGCCCAGAACATCCCGGTAGACAAGGCCCAAAAAGGTGAGAAGCTCCCGGCCCCCACAACCAGACTCGCACCCCGCAGCCCAGCCTCTTTGCCACCACCCTAACACCCACAGTCAGACCCGCACCCCTGCACACTTCACTCTTGTAGCCAGAGACCCTTCTCCCAAGCCACAGCCCCTACCCAGTTGGAGCCCCTCAGGAGTCCTATTCTCCAACAGATCCTTTCACGGCAGAGGAACTTAATACCCCCATCGGATATAATTAGGGTACCTGATCCCCGCTAGCTTCCCCGTCTCTTCAAATGGGAGAGGTTATTTCTCAGTCTCTTTTGACAACCAGTCCCTTCCAAATGTAGGAGTCCCAGCTGCCTACCACCTGGTAACATACCCTTTGCTAGTCCAAGCATCCTCTTTACCCCCAAGGTACAGGTTCTGAGTCTCCATTCCTCTGTGTAGTATCCTCCCACATAAGCTGAGACTGGTCTTGCTCATTTCAGAAGCTATTTCTAGAAATGTGGGGTTCTAAAATAATATAAATAAATTTTAAAACATAAGAAAGTCTTTCCCTTCACAAGTTTTAGAAGGGAATGCAATTGTGAAAATAATTATACGAGAGCTTCTAAAATGCGAAGTCTGGCTCCCATATACACCACATCTAATCCCCAAAGAATAGCCACTTAGAATGCTCTGTCACTCTTTTCCTCCCTATTCAGCAAGTAACTGCTTTCACCAAATTTCTAGGATTCAGTATAAAGGAAATATTATATTTCAAAGTAGAGGAGAAAAAGTTGATATAAAGACAGTTGACATGGCCACTGATTAAAGTCATTCTCTCCAACAGTCTCTGTATGCTCAATTGATGTTCAGATGTTAAGAATACATATTCAGACATTAACTATTGTTTGTGTGATTAAGTCCAAGTCTGTGCATAGAGAGATTATCCCTGTAGCATACCCACTCCATTCATTCTACGCACTCCTGCTATCTAAAATGCAGCTCTGTCCATACTTTCCCCTGCTTAAACCCTTTTTCAGCTTTCCACTGCTGTGTGGATTAAAGCCAAGTCCTTGTGAAGGACATTTCAGGACCCTTCCTGATCTGATCTCTGTCCATCTCTGCAGTCCCATCTCCCACCACTGCCTGCCTTCTATTTTGTATCCCAGTAATACCAAACTGCTTGTAGATCTCCACTTAAACCTGTTTGTTCATGTTTCCATGCTAGTAATTCCCATCCCTCCATTCTTCCTCTTCCACCCTACCCTATTCAGCTTCAGAATCAATCATCTCCTTCAGGAGGCCTCCCAACATGGGACAAGGGCCTGCCCATACTCTCATATCACCCTGTGTTCCCATGGTACTCCATTTGTGTCTCTCTCTGCCTTATCACTGGCCATTATACTGAAATGATCTGTATATGTGTCTGTCTCCCCCACTTGATTGTCTTATTCATCTTTGTACTCCAGCACCTAGCATAATTCCTAGACCAGGGTAAATCAGTGTTCAGCAAATGTTTGTTGAACTGATGATCAAAATTGGCAGTTTTATATGGCATTGTCATTTCTTCTAGAGAGAGTTCTGCTTTCCTTGGTGCCTATGTGGTCTGATTTCATTCAAGCTAATGGCCCTAGTGAGGTGACAGGCCAGCGTTCTCAGACTGATAGTCTGCATCTTGGAACATAGTGTAAATTAGTAATTAAGAGCATACTCTGTGGAGTCATATACAGACCTGGATCCCAATTCCAGCTTTGCCATTTAACTACTTGCATGACCTTGGAGTAACCTCCATAAATAAGCCTGTTTCTTTCTCCATAAAACAAAATTATAAGGATTGAGTGAGATCATGTATTTAACATGTTTTGCACAATAATAGGTATTATCTTTCAAGAGGAGATCTGGGCAAGACCCTGTGAATATTAGGGGATGGCTTTGTCTTTAAGAGCTATAGTTCTTCTGGTTTTGCTAGATTCAGCTTTTGGGAGTTTCAACCATCTTTAATAATTCACATTCATACACTCATTGATTCCACAATTTTTGAGTGAATGTCAAACACCGTGTGAGATTCTGGATGGAACTTGAGCCAGCCCTTCTGTGCATTCAATAGGGCTATTGATCCACTCCAGTGACTGATTCTAAAACTGAGGGACATATGTTCCTGATGACAACAACAATAAAACAATGAAAAATTAAACACCATGTACTAAAAACTCTCTAACACCTTAATCCTCACAACCATCCTATCACATAGGTGATATTACTATTCCCGATTTATAGATGGGAAAACTAAAACTAATTTGCCCAGAACTATACAGATGCTAAGAGAAAGAGTAAAAGATTTCAACCAATGGCATAAGGCTCTAAAGCTCATATTCTTAACCAACTTATTCCCTCAAACACTGCATTTTGCTGCTACCTGGAGGAATTATATCAGGATTTTTGTGGGGGTTGGTAGGTCAGGAAAAGAGGGAGGAGTTTGAAAAAAATACCCAGTATACCCACTGATTTTATAAAAGAAATGTTGGCTAATGGGATTTTGTAGAAGATAAAATGAAAGAGCAGGGTAGGGAGCGTAGGATTCAAAAAGCTGAAAAACACTGATCTCTTCCATTCTACTGTTTAGAGTTGGTGTAGCTGCAGGAATGGGAGACACCGTAACAGATGCCTGTACACATAGGCCTGTAAAATGCCAGACATGGTAAACTAGTCCTTGCTGAAGCTTTGAATGGAAATCATATTTCTTCTAGATGTTTTCATTATCTTACACAACTAATTGGTCTCCTGGAGGCTGTCCCTGTTCCCACAAGGCCAGTGCAGATGTTGCAGTTTCCCCCCACAATGCAGCCTCTAGTTTAGCATTCAACAGAAAGGAAGTTGCTCTCTCTATGGGGCAACTTTTAAGTGTTGCATAGTGAATGTTGTCCGATGTTTTAAGCAATAGTGAGAATAATAACAGCTACCTTTGCCTCACTCCCATCTTCTTAAAAATATTCATAAATAAAACCCTATTACATTTTGCTTACATTCCTTATTTTACAAGAGAGGAACCTGAGGCATAGGGCCATTAAGTGATTTTTCCAAGACATGCAGATCACAGTGTAGTACTGAGCAACCAAATGGCAGTTAGGTTCTGTTTCTATTTCTCTAGCTCCAATTTAACAACCAGCTCTGGATAGCCTTGGGCCTATCTCCTATTCAAAATATAACTGAAGTGGAATTGTCATAAATAAGTCGTCTGCAGAAAGAATAGAAAAACAGGGTGTTTTCCTTCCCTGGATCCTCAGGAAGAAAGGGGTGGAGAGCACACAGCACCACAGAGCCCCCTGCTGGTGCTGAGCCTGGGTGCCTCTGGGAGTACCTCAGTACTCCTGGGTATGCATTTGCCAGTTTCATTTTATCAACAACAGGCAGTCACCGTTCCTCAGAGGAGAGGAACCCCTTGCAGTGCCACTGTTCCCAAACATACCCTCTAGAGGATCAAAACTCCACTTCTCTGAATTCCCACAAGCATATCATACTAGATCACCAGTTAAATAAATACTGCAGAAAGACAGAAGATGTGGACATTATACCAAAGAAAACGATGTCTGCTTTAAGAAGTCTAGACTCCTGGGGCTATTCTCCTAATATTTTCTCTCCAAAAGCCCATGACTCTTGGGAGAGAAAGATGGTGAATTTTCCCAGAGGAGTCTGACCTTGCAGTGGTAATCCCTTGCTGTCAGTTCAGGCATGGCACAAGGCATGCTTTCAAACTGGTCTCTTGAGAGCTGTTGGTAGTGTATATTAAAGCCATGTGCCAGTTGTTTATTGAAGGCACATATATACTTTAATGATAACTTCAGAAATCACCCCTTCAGAAGCAATCTAGTGGCAAATGTTTCCAGAGGAGACCATTAATTATAAAATGTTTTTTAAAATGTGGATGTGTCCAGAACTCTTTATCTGGGAGTGGTTTTTCTAGATTGAAATCTCCCCAAAAAATTAAGGAAAGAAAAAAAGTTATCTTTCATCCTTTATTGGTGGTATCCAGTGTCCTTCAGTAGAAAAAGCAGAACTAGAAGAAAAGCCAGGTAGTGTTTGACATGTATTATCCATTTATCGCTACAACAACCCTATGAGGTAGGTGCTATTATGAGTCCCATTTCATAGATGAAAAAACAAATTAACCGAATTGCTTGAAATTTAAATGGCTAGTAAGTGGTAGAGCCAGGGCTCAACCCACAAAGGGTCTTGATTCTCACAGATTTCTCTAGCCAACTGCATTTTTCCTTTTTTTAATCTCCTTTTGAGATCTTCCTGACTACCTTTGTCCTTGGGAGCTTTCTTTTTTTTTTTTTTTTGAGACAGAGTCTCACTTTGTTGCCCAGGCTAGAGTGAGTGCCGTGGCGTCAGCCTGGCTCACAGCAACCTCAATCTCCGAGGCTCAGCAATCCTTCTGCCTCAGCCTCCCGAGTAGCTGGGACTACAGGCATGCGCCACCATGCCCGGCTAATTTTTTTTTGTATATATATTTTTAGTTGGTCAATTAATTTCTTTCTATTTTTGGTAGAGATGGGGTCTCTCTCAGGCTGGTTTCGAACTCCTGACCTTGAGCAATCCGCCCTCCTCGGCTTCCCAAAGTTTGGGAGCTTTCTTTACACTGGTCCCATCACTACTTCCTTCTTTTTACATGGAATTTACACATCTATACATAAAAAGTAATACACAAATATTGACATTTTTTCATATTAATTTGCATTTCAAGTTTTCTAATTTGAGCAGTTTCATCTGTACTTTAGAAAGGGAAATCTTACAGTAATAGGAAATTAGACTGTACACAAAGAAACTCCTTTCTCTACCTGTTCTTGGAATTATTCTTCCTTGTGGAAGCTAGTGGGGTTTTTTTGTTTTGTTTTGTTTTTAAGACAGGTTCTCACTATGTTGCCAGGCTGGTCTTGAACTATGAATTCAAGGGATCTTCTTGCCTCCCACTTCAGCCTCCCAAGTAGCTGGGACTGACTACGGGCCACTGTGCCCAGCTTGAGGCTAGTATCTTTAAAAGCC